GCTGTGAGGTGTGGTGTTATGGTATGTTCTCTGTGGCCACTTACGTCACAACATCGGTTATGCAATGCTATGATTCGCTATGGTATAACACATTATGCCGCGCTCTGTTATGGTATGAATGGTCATGGTACGGAATGGAATGTGCTCTGATGCTGTGTCATGGTTGGTCTGGTGTATACGCTCCGATCTGTCATAACTTGCGCTGGTATGCTGCGCTTTGCCATGGCATTAGATGTCATGCTACGTGATGATAGTATTATACGGTATATGTTTGTATGCTCAGATGTGCGTTGGTTTGTTATGGTATGTTTGAGGTGTCATGTCACGGAAGGATATGTGCTGTGATGTTGTGTTATGGTATGTAATGTCATGGCATGGCATGTTATGCTCGGATATGTTATGTTCGGTGCTGTGGTGCTATGCTGTGTTCTGTGGGGGACTTGGGGATCTGGCGTCCGCGGTATGCAGGGTGGGCGATTCGGCGCGGAGGGCGCGACCCTCAGGGATTATCGGAGTCTGGGGATCTGGCGGCCGCGGTATGCAGGGCGGGGGGGGGAGCGGGACAACCAGGGATTATTGGGAGCGTGGGGATCTGGCGGCCGCAGTATGCAAGGCGGCGGGGGGGGGCGGGACAAACAGGGATTATCGGGAGCCTGGGGATCTGGCGGCCGCGGTATGCATGGCGGGCGGGCCAGGAGGTCTGTTCTAAAATCAGCCGACCGTGTCGGCGTGTGCGAGGGGCTTCTCCATGTTCGAGTTCTCGTCTCCTTCGTCTCCTCGTCGTCTTCGTCGTCGTCACAGTCGTTTCCTCGCAGTATCCGTCGTCTCCCGTCCCTTTCCCTGGGCCCTCCTCAAGCGTGCCATCCAAAGCGAAATTGTACAACGTCGTATTGGAGTCGAAAGGAAGCCCCTTCCGTTGATCCCTTCCCCACGGGGGGATGTCCCTGGGGGGGTCCGGGGGGGTTCGCCACCCAGATTCGTTTTCCCCTGGGCGGTCCCGACAGATCCAACAGCCCCAAAAAGAACCCAGAATACCGAATATGGCTCCCAAGATTGCCCACAAGAGCCCCTTGTCGCTCAAAGATCGGCCCAACACGGCCAAGATGGCCCCAAGACAATCCAAGAAGCCTCCTAGACGCCCTAGGAGCTCTCCAAGAACACCCCCACCAAGGCTCCAAGAGGCTCCTCCTCCACTCCTCCTCCTCCTCCTCCTCCTCCTCCTCCTCCTCCTCTTCCTCCTCCTCCTCCTCCTCCTCCTCCTCCGCATCTGTCCCCCTCCTCTTCCTCCTCCAGCTCCGTCTACTACTCCTCCTCCTCCGCCTTCCTCTCTTCATCTCCCCCTCATCATTATCCTTCTTCTCCTTTTCCTCCACAGCTTGTTTCCGTCCTCTCTTCTTCCTGATTATCCTCCTCCTCCTCCTGATCTCCCTCTTCTCCCTCTTCCTCGTCCTTCTCTTCATCCTCCTTCTATTCCTCCTCCTCCTCTTCTTCTTGTTCCCTCCTCTTGCTCCTCCTCCTCCTCCTCCTCCTACGCCTCCTCCCCTTCCTTCTCCTCCTCATCCTCACCCCCCTCTCGGGCAGGAGAAGCCGCAGCGAAAGGAGACAACAGACGAGACGAGTTCGACCGACGCGCCCCCCCCTCCTCCTCCTGCCACTCCCCCTCCTCCCCCATGCACGCCACCCTCCCTCTCATCTTCGTCGTCTTCAGGGTCGGCGGCACCGGCCGTACAGTCGGAACAGGGCCCCTTGTATCCGTAAGTTAAACTTCGATTTCCCATCGAAAACATAAGCAAACCCTGAGGCAAGCTGTGAAACACTTAAGGAACGCGGAGCCCCTCCCCAACGAAAAGGGTTCCTTCTTCAGGGCCCCGACTGTAAGGCCTTCGCAATCTAACGAACCCACCCTGTCGGGTGGGGAAACATGCACTTCCACGCGGGATCGCGACGTTGCGCGCGGCGTCAGGGGGGGTACGGCTTCGCGTGGAGAAAGCAAGCCAGAGGTCAATTAGCATCCCCCTGGGCCTGTGCATGAAAAGAACATGATGCCGCAGAGCCCCGCCCTTAGAACGCCAAACAGCTGCCGAGCAGCCCTCGACAAGATGTCGTCGCAACGTCCCACTCGGCACGTCAGCCAACTATTTGCGCCCTGCGACGAGGGTGGGGGACTAAAACTACAGAAGACCACGACGGTCAACATACTGATGAGGGCGACGGGGCAGACAACGAGAAGACCGCGCGATGAGAGCGAAAACGAAGAGCACGAACAGAAAGGGCGCCCACTCTGAGAGGGGAGGGCGTGACAAGCAACAGCAATCGGATCAGACGGAGTCGGCGGTCCCCTGGATCGGCCCCAAAGGCCCCCGACGGCCCCTGACACGGCCCCAAAACAGCCGCAAGAGACTTTCAAAGTCTCCGAAAAGCCGGGGCCCGAAGGTGGCACCTAGGTGGCTCTAATCCCACCATCCCTCGCACCTGGTCTGGGCGAGAGGGGGTTGCAGACAGGCTAGATCGCGCAAGACGGTCCACGATGCTTCCAAGATGGCCTCAGAGATGGCCCCTGAAATTGCACAATTATACCCGAAAATGACTTCACGCGTCCTTCAGCATGTTTCCAAGATGCACCAAGACCGACCCAGCACGGCCCCAGATGGCTCTGGAGCTTCCCGAGGAGGGTCTCTAAAGGCCAAGATCAATCGACAACTACGTGCTTCTCACTGTGAGCTTGCCTGTCCATCTTGACAACCCTGGTGGGCTTCTGAAGCTTCAAACCGGATCCGAGAAGGCCCAGAAGAGCCCAAAGAGGGGCTGCAGAGGGCTTCAAGACGGCACCAACGGCGCCCTTCGAGCACCCAAAAGGGCCCGGAAGAAAATGTGTCGGGGTCAAGAGGGGCAGGGCTTATCCGCGCCGCTCCCCTTTGGAGCGCTGTCCTCCAAGATGGCCCGGAGAAGGCTTCCCGAAGCCAGCAAGAGAGCCCCCACAGACCCCCGAGTGGACTCCCAAGGTTGCCTCGCATCCTCTCTCCTCCTCCTTTCTCCTCCCTCCCATTCCCTCGTCCTCCTGACTTGTGTTGCTGTCCCAAAGGCTGGAAACTGCGCTTCAGACCACCGTGTGCGCGGATCCCACTGCGCAAAGGCTACGCTCGGCCCTGCCACCAGCGCTGCTGCACTGAGACTGCAGCCACGAACCAGGCAGCACCTCTCCGGGTGTACCCCTTCTGCTTGTTCGCTGCACGGAGGAGAGGACGGAAGCGAGAAGGGAATTGATTTCCGTCAAGGCCCCTTCGATCAGGGCGCCTGCGCGCGAGACGAATCCAGCGAAACGTGCGAGGGACGACCGAATAGACTTATGTCGGGCGTGTCCCCCTACAGGGGGATTTCTGACGAAAAACCAAAAAATGCCCCAAAAAGGTCAAAACATACTCCAAAAATAGTCCCCAGGCTATTTTTTGATTATTTTTTGACAATTGTTGGGGTAAGTATTTGTTATGTTATTCTTCGTCGAAAATCCCCCTGTCGGGGGACAGGCCCGACTTACGAATAGACGAGCCGAGCACAGCGATCCCGCAGAAGCCCCTTTCTGACTACCTACCAGACCACCCCAACCCAACCCGAAGACCCGAATTTCGGGTTGGGGGGGTACGAGCTTCATGTGTGTTTTCTCAACGTTCCCCGACCCCCCCAACTGGAAATGGAGGGCAAATTGGGGCCTTCGGGTTGGGTCGGGGTGGTTTGGTGGGCGGTGATTTCCCCGAACGCACAGCCCCCTTGGAGAGGAAGCCGCCCCCCCGGCTGCTGGCCCCGCGTACAGAGCGGGTCGCACCGCACCCCGCCCGCTGCGGGGGCGTGGGGGGGCGGCAGCCGAGCCGGCGCTGCGGAGGGCATCCTTTCGGAGGGAGGCTTCTTGCACAGCGCGCACCGGGTGGGGACCAGTGGGGACGTGATGGGGTGGGAAGGGATCAGGAGGGGGGAAGTGACGAACGAACAACACACACCCATACCCATAGGGAGGTCGTTAGGAGGAGGACTGGCTATGGGTATGGGTGCGGGTTGTCGGACCCTGGGGAACGCTCCCGCTCGAGCGGGGACCCCCATCCGACAACACGCACCCATAGCCCTCTCCGATCCCCCTATAGGTATGGGTGTGTGTTGTTGGTTCGTCAGGGAGGGAAGTGGGAGGGGAAAAACTGGGACGGTAGGGCTCCAAAATCCGAAGATGGAGGGGAGGAGGTAGAAAGCGGGGGCCTGCACCCAACAATTGTCCACCAGCAGCGCCGCCCCTGCGACCACATGTTGTCCCGGACACGGGGTGCATTCTCTGCCTTTCTATCTTAAGAGTGTCCAAGACGGTCCAACATTGCTCGAAGACGGCCGCCGAAGCCTCCAAGAAGGCCCCGGAGGACCACGGGACGGCCACAGCAGAGGCCTAAGGAGGGAAGGCAGACGTGGCATGCCGACCCGTCCCCCAAAGACGGTCCCTAGGACCGCGAGCAGGCCCCCGAGGAGTTCCCCAGGACCCCCGCGCCCCTCAACAGGCGCCCAGGAGGCCTCAACCGACCTCTCAGAAGCCCCCGCGAGGCTTCCAATATGCCTCCACGAAGCCCCACAAGAGACCTCAGGATCTTGGAGAGGCCTCTTGTCCACGACCTGGGCGCGATGGCGGGATGGGCCGACGGCCACTAGACGGCAAGGCTCCCCCCGCGCGCCACAGCGCGAAGCGAACAGATATGTGAAACTCAAGGGAATAGCAACTTCGAACAGCTCTAAAAATCCGACCACGAGACCGAGTCGGGGCGCAAGCGCACAGCCGAAAAAGGCAGCCGAACAGCTTGTGAATCAGGCGCAGTGCCCAGAGCTGAGAGTGGAGCAGATTGTTGAACGCGAGCGAACCGAGTTCGATTTAGAACTGAACAACCGCCGTGCAACACTTTGAGGAAAGTGTGTAGAAACTGTGAGGCGAACAGCAAAGATGTGCCATGTTACAATTCGAACTTCCGAGATGCCTTAGGGGATGCCGGAACTGCGTCTTGTTCTTGATGGTGTTTCTGCAGACCTGCACAGTGTCTTCAATCTCTTCCCCAGGCAACCGGTGCTTCTTCATGACCTCGTGCTGCCCGTTCTTCTGTGGATGTCCACTACCGCTTTTCGACAACTCGTCAACTACTGCAGTGTCTATGTCGCCCGCGCTCGCCTTCATACCCACGTCCTCTAGGGCGCCATTGCACATATCTTTCTTTTTGCCACCTGACAACTCGGTGTCTAAGCCACCCTGGTTCACCTCGACGGCCTGCCCATCGATGACGTCTTCCTCGCCCATGATCGACATCTGGTACATGTGACTTGGGTACGTCTTCGCAGACACCGTGTTGGTGATGACTCGGTCTCGTACTTCGCCGTTGTATCCTTTCATCTCTTGGGTGGCCATCTGAATCACCGCCACGTACCATGGAATGTAGTCGCGCACCTTTGAAGGGGCCCCAGGACACACAAATAAATACACAAAAAACAAATTCCCCATATTTTCCTATATGTCTGGGGTTTTTCGTCTTCCCCCCCACTTCCCATATTTTTCCATATTTTCCTGGGGATCGACGATTCGTTGTGTCTGTGTGTGTTTTTCCCCTCCTGAACCTTCGCTCCTGCCTGCCAGTAGTAGCTCCAGTTGAGGCAGGTGAGAAGCCCAGCGAGGATGGCAGCGAGACTCATCCAGAATGCGAGGCCAACCGTAGCAACGAAAGAGTACTCTCTGTCTTCGAATGAGCACTGCACCGACTGTGCTGCTGCCATGACGCGGGTGCCGTCGTCGCGGTCGATGCAGACGAACGGTTGCACCAGCTGCTGCATGTGAAACTGAACGAAAAAGATCACGATTATGGTCATGCATCGAAGCCACGCGTTCTTGAGCAACCAGCGCTGGACGTCTCTGAACTCGGGCTCGCCCCTGCTGTCGCGGAACGAGACGAAGCGGACGATCAAGAAAGATACCGTTATGGGAAAGACCATCAGGTACGGCAGCACGACAAAGCCGACCCACTTCTTCCAGAACGGGGCGGCGACGGAGCACTCTGGGTGGAAGAAGTCGAAGTTGAGGAGCATCTGCTGGAGGAACGCGGCGATTTGGAGGAACAGAGGCGGCCACGTCAGCTTGAGGCCGGCCACGGCATTGAACGACTGCAGCACGCCCAGGGACATCGTGAGGACGCGCACGCCGCCCTCTGCCGTGGAGGCGGCGTCCACCTCCTCCATTTCTGATTGTTCAAACCTGGGCGCCTTGAAGACCATGACTAAGGGAAGCCGCGCCCTCGCAATTTCTGCGAGCACCATCTCCTCCCTATCCGCACGCACCACTTTCCCATTTAGAATCCTCAGCACGAAACCCGGCTTCACGCCCTTATGTTTAGCCGGAGAATACGGTCGAACCCCGGCGATGTTTACAGTACGCGTAGCAGGGTCACACCGGAAGACGATGCCGCAGTCTTTGTCCTGGACCCACTTGTAGTATACGCCCAGGTCCTTCGGCAGCATCTCGATGCGTACGCGCTTGGTCATGAAAAAATCAACGACGTTGTTCACTTTGGAGACTCCCGCACCAACCGCCACTAGGTTGGCAACCCAAATCTTGATCTGGTTGAAAAAGATCGGGTCGGCGTAGCACTTCAAGTAAAGCAGGGCACCAGCGAACGATCCGACTGAAAGCATGATGCACACAGCCAGCATTATGACAGTCCCGATGATTTGGCTGTCGTCGCACTGCTTACAAATCCGCCACAGTGCCCCCTGCACGTTTGGGCGTGGTCAATACCAAAAACTGTCTGGTTGGGTTCCTACGATTTGGGAAGACGCATTTCACAGGCGCTTGCCTTGGGAACATTCGGCGGCGCGTTTCAAACCGAGGGGCGCCCCCCCCCCCAACACCGGCGCCGTCGATCGAAACCAGGGGGACCCCCCTCCCCCCCAACACCCCTCCCTCCCGAACCCCCCCCCCCCCTTCGGCGCCGGCGCTGGCGGCCGCCAGCAGCGCCCACGGCGGGGACGCAGCGACGATGACCACAGGCAGCTCAAGGGGGGGAGGGGGGGTTCAAACGCCCCCCTGGCGCCGAGGGGGGGGGGTTCAAACCCCCCCCCTTCCCCCCCCTCGCGCCGGCGCCGGCGCTGGCGGCGGCCAGCAGCGCCGGCGATGGCGCCGGCGACGGCGGCGACGCAGCGATTACCACAACTACCACCACCACCACCACTACCACCACCGCCTCAACCCACCACCAGAACCACCACCACCAACAGCACCACACAAACCACCACCCACCACCACAGCCACCACCACCATCACCACAACCACCACCACAACTCACCCATCACCACTACCACCACCACAAAAACCCACCACCACTACCACCACCACCACCACAATCTACCACACCCACCACCACCACAACCACTAACAGCAGCACAACCCACCGCCACACCACAAAACCACCACACCACCACCACCACCCACCGCCACCACCACCACCACAACAAACGTCCACAAACCACCGCCACCACCACAACCCACCACCCACCACCACCACCACACCACCACCACAACACCACCTCCACACCACAACAACCACCACCACCACCACACTCACCATCACCACCACCACCACCACAAAAACCCTCCACCACTACCATACACCACCACCACAACCAACACCACACCACCACCGCCACAACCACCACCACTACCAGCAGCACAACAACCCAGCACCACCACAAACCACCACATCACCACATCACACCACCACCACCACCACCGCCACCGCCACCACCACCACCAGCACCACCGCCACAAACCACCGCCACAACCACAACCCACCACCACCACCGCCACAAACCACCACCCCACCACCACCAAACCACCCCTTCCCACCACAACCCACCACACCACCACCACACCACCACCACAAACCACCACCACACCACCACCAAACCACTACCACCAACACCACCCACCGCCACAACCACCACTACCACAACAAACCACCATACCACCGCCACCACCACAACCACCACCACCGCCACCACCACCACCACCACAACCCACCACCAACACCAACACCGTCGTCCTCGTCGACGCTCCCCGCCACCGCCGCCCGCCGCCGCAGGCGCCGGCCTGCGCCGGCCCAGAAATGGAAATCGTCGTCCCCGCCGGCCGTCGCCAGCCGCCGCCGACGCAAGCGCCGGCCCGAGGAGAGGGGAAGCAACGGGGGGAAAGAGGGGGGGGTTTGAACCCCCCCCCTCCGTCACGGGAGGGGGGGGGGTGGTTCGACCCCCCCCCTCCATCCAAGGGGGGGGGGTCCGGTTCCAACCCCCCCCCCCTCCAAAAGACAGCAGAACGCGTTCTTTCTACGATTTTCTGAGGAACGTCCCAAACTCATCTTCTGCGGCAACTCAAGGGAGCCTCCAGTACCATCTCGCTGGCCCTTGCGAACCGAAACTGATCGATGCGAATCTACGATAAACCGATGCTAACCGATGCGAAGCGACGCCATCAGCCTAAACTCTTCGATTACCAGACGCTTATCCACGCTAGTGCTCTCCAAGTCTGGGAACCAGAAAATACCGATACTGCTCCTCTCTGGACCTCCCCAGGCGCGAGCTGACCAGGATCTCGAGTCGAATTCAGCGGTGGCGACGAGGGCCTCCAAGGAGGGCGAACAAAAAAGAAACGAGGCAAGAGTAGCAGTACGGGTACCTTCGGCGGTGGATAAACCTCCCTTTAGCAAACCTCCCCTTAGTGAAAACGGCCTGGGACCGAAACCGACGGACCTGGACCCGCAAAAATAACGGCCGCGACGCCGTCGCGAGATGAAAACGGCCAATTCCTCAATCGACGTGTCAGGGTAGGAGGTCTGTCCATCCCCGATACCTGATCCTCCTCCGAGTGAAGATGGAACTACGAGGATGCACAAAGCCCCCATGATTTGCCACCCAAGCCATCGTATGCGGGCAATATTTATATCCATATCCAGTGCGTCTTGGACTTTCTTGGAAGGGGCGCCGCAAGGCCGAGGCGCACTGGATATGGATAAAAATTAAGCCTTTTGGAGGCAGATTATAATCCATATCCAGTGCGCCTCATGTTTCTTGGGAAGAGTGTCCGAAACTCCAAGACGCACTGGATGTGGATAAAGACATTGCCCGCATCGTAGGTTCGCCAGGCGGCGCGACGCCTCCCCTGCGCTTCCCAGCGCCTCCAAGAGAGGGCTGCTTGCACGGCAGCAGAGCGGCTCAAGAGGCCATCGAGACCTCCAAGACCCCCCCCCCGAGCCCCCAGAGTGCCCACAGGAGACCCCGAGACGCCTAGAGAGTTCTTGGAAAACCCTCTCCTTCGCTTCCTCCTCCCACCCTCTCCCCAGCCTCATCTTTATCCTTCTGCTTCATTTCGAGCATGTTACGGCCTCCGCTCCACTGGGAAAGCCAACTGTTGCATATTACGGCCCAATTTGGACCTTCGGTGAATGAGCGCACAGAGCGTTCAGCGGGCACGGTGGCCGAATTTGCCGCAGGCAATTTTATATTTGTGAGCTTGTCGCGGTAAAAACCGAATATACATTCGACGCACGCTACGCCTCCATACCCGCGACCGCAAGTATTCGCCGCGCCGCAAGCATCCATCGGCTCACACAACACCATCATGGGCTTGAATCGGGAGACGTCGCCCACGGTACCGTAGACCGTCTCTCCGGTGATGTAGAAATATGGCGTCGACTTCGGTGGAATCGTGCCGCCAGCGCAATACAGCCGGCAGACTCGGTACTGCACCGAACCGTCAGCGTCGGAGACGCACACGTGCTTCTCTGGCTGGTCGCAGAGCTCCCCGATGGGCACGACAGAGCTGCAGGGTTCCTCCTTGACAGCTGGGGCCGTCAGCTCCTCAGCGTGGCACTTCGAGCACGCCCTGCCAGGCAGCCCGTACACGATTTTATCCGAGTCGGCGGTCCAGAAGTATGAGGAATAATAGCCCCTCAGGCAGCGGCAGTCCTCTATCGATGACGCTGGCGGCACCGCCTCGGTGTTGTCTGGGCAGAGCTTGCAATTCACGGCGCCACGCTCGTCCTGGTACTGGTACGCCCTGCAATTGGTGCACTCGAGAGGAAACTGATCGGTCGCCAAGGTGGAGTACTTGCCTGCTGGACATGGCTCGCACTCAATCCCGTCCGGCTTGACGCGTTTCTCGCCTGGGTTGCACAGCGACAGCTGGGACGTGACCTCCAGGGGGTAAGCCGACATGTGACGAGCCCCAACGATGACCGAGACGTCCACGTCTTGCTCCTTGATGATCGCGCCCATCAGCTGCCCAGCCGACGGTGCCATCCGCTGGGGCCTGAGCGCCGACTGCGAGGTGCACATGACGCAAGAGTCGTTCTGGAACGACACGGTGCACGGCGCAATGCCGACCATCACCTCGGCGTCTGAGAATATCTGAATCGCCCCCGTCCCTGCCTCTCCGTCCCCCTTCCACTGCTGGCAGGCGGAAGCAAAATCGTCCCCCGTCGCCAGAGGCACACCAAAGAACGTCCCCGTGACCACGAAATCAGAGTTGCCCACGTCGGATACCGTCGTCGGGTAGACGGACGTCAGGCTGGGCTTCGGCAGCTGAAGCTGGTTCGTGAGTGGAGGCGTCGTGACAAGGTCGCCCAGCTGCAGCACGATGCTGGGCTTTTCTGTGAGGTCGCGCACATCCAGGCAACGCACCGCGTAACACTCGAGCTCGGACGTACTCGTCCAGCCGATACTATCACACAGCGGGAGGTATGCCCCTGCGGTCGTCAACACCCACATCGCGTAGCCTTTCACCTCAGCCTCGTCCAGCGATATATCGCTGGGGTTCGGGAACCCGGAGCCCCCGATGTAAAGCTTCCCCGGGAGGCCGTCGGCGGCCAAAAACTTGGATAGGTCCACGATTCCGACTTGCAGCTGGCCGTCCTCGTCCTTGGCCGCTAGCGAGGACAGGCTGGGCAAACCCCACAAGATTTTACCCTCGACCACCACCCCGGGTGACTCCAGCATCGCACCGTACTTGTAGTCGCGGACCTCAAGCCGCACCTCCAGGCCAGTCAGCGCGGACAGCTCGAGGGTACACTGAATGCCGGTCCAATCGGTGAACACCTGGCTGCCAGTGCAGTAACCCGGAGAGGCCTTCGAGGAGCCCTTCTTCTTCACTGTGAGCTGAAAGAACTCCTCTACCTTCGCGGTCGCGATCACCGCGGGCGTCACGGGCACATGCCCGAGGGTGGCAACCACGACGGGCCGATTATTAGACTGCAGCATGTCGCCGAAGATTGCTTGCACTGTGAGGGTAGGTGGTAAGAAAGAAATCTGCCGACCCCCGCTTGCCAGGGTTGCAAAGGCGCGTGAGATTATCAGTCGCCCCCCCTCCCCTGGGGTCTCAAATCCGATTAGAGAGAGGAGTCCGCGGGGGGTGATGGTGGCTCCCTGGGCACTTCAACGCTCCCCTGGTGCCTCTGGAGCCTCCATTCCTACACCGTGGCCTCCAAGATGCCCATGATTCCATCTGAGCTTGCTCAAGCTGGGCTCCAACACGCCAAGGAAGTCTCAAAAGCAACAAAGATAGCCTCAAGACGCCTCCAAGACGAACCCAGGAAGCTCCAAGAAGACCCCCAAGAGGGCCCCAAGAAGCTAGAATCGCAAGATCTCACCAGGAAAGCGTGTAGGTTTTGCATACTCACCCCTTTGATTTCAACAGCGTCCAAAGCGGCCAATGGATCGCTCAATGACGGCCCAAAAAGCCATTAAGAGGGCCCCACCATGGCCAAATAGAGCCCCAGAACGGCCGAAGAGGCGCCCAAGACAACCCAAGCGGGCCCCACAACAGCCTCAGGAGGGGCCCAAAAGGGTGAACTCGAACTGAAGTTTCGAGCCGTCCGCCCGAAGAGGACCCCCGAGACTTCCAGCAGGCGCTCAACACACCCCCAAGAGGCTTCTCCTCCGGCTCCTCCTCCTCCTCCTCCTCCTCCTCCTCCTCCTACCTCCTCCTACCTCCTCCTCCTACCTACCTCCTCCTCCTCCTCCTCCTCCTCCTCCTCCTCCTCCCCCTCCTCCTCCTCCTGCTCCTCCTCCTCCTCCTATTCCTCCTCCTCCTCCTCCTCCTCCTCCTGCTCCTCCTCCTCCTCCACGAGGCCCCCAAGCAAGGTGCCCAAAAGGTGCCCCAAGAGGCCCCTCAAGAGGTCCCCAGGAGACGACGGGCCGCACCCGTGGACTTCGTTTTTCTCCTCTGGGGCTCGACGGAAGTGCGTCAGCCACTTGCATCCGCCAGCCCACTGGGCTCTCGCCATCGCTCGGACGTCCATTCCCTGTGCTTTTTTGGTATCGTGCGTGTTTTTTTCGCCAAATGATCAAGGATGCCTCTCGATGGCCCTCGCCGAAGGAAAAAATGCACACGTCCGAGCGATGCCAAGGGCTGAGGGGCGTGTAGAGTTCAACTGTGGGAGCTCCCTGCACTCAGGGCTTCAACCCCCCCCCCCTTTTTCCCCAAAAGGCCTCCGCCACTCCGCCGCCCTGCTGCACCGTCGGCCCTCTTCGAGCCTCAAGACGGCGTCCAGGTGGCTTCGAAGACGAGCTCGAGTTTCGTTTCCTTCTGGCGTCGCTTTCGGGCCGCAGTTCAGCTCCGTTTCGGAATCTTCGGGGCCCCTGTTTGGTCCGCGGCCAGCCCCTGGGGCCCTCCAGAGCGCCTCTGGGGCTCCGCTGCGCGAACAAACTGGGCACTTCAACAACAAAGCAAGACCCTTAGGATTTCCACGATTTGTCATCGCCAGGAGTCACCCGGATGCCTCGTATAGCGGACAATCGAGCTCGTCCGGGCCATTTTCAAACATGAGGCTATCGTCGCCGATTTGCACGTTTTCGTCTGCAACTTTGAAAGACTCTGGGCCCAACTGCTGGGGCACCCCAAACGGGGCCAAAACCCGCCCCGTACGGCCAGCTTCTTGATGGTAGTCGGACCTGGGTGCGGTCCAACACGGACGTGCTGTCGCTTGGGCCATCCAGAAACCCACCTGGGCAACTCCGGGCCCTTCTTGGCCCCTTGTTGGGCCTGCCTCGGGGCCCTCTTCCGCCCTTGTGAGCGCATTTTAGGCCGTTTTCGGGCCGTCTTCGGCTGGCCTCGGGAAAAACTTCAACTATCTCTGGCCTCCTGCTCTGAATAGGGAGCACAATTCTAGACAGCCGCTGGGCTGAGGGGCGTGTGAGACTCGTTTCTGAAAGCTCCTTACAATATTTAACCCCGCCTCTTCCCCCACCCCAGAGGCCTTCGCCATTCCGCCGCCCGGCTGCGTCCCATCCCCTTTTCGGTCCCCAAGACGGCTCCGAGAAGGCCCAACGCGGAGAAGGCGAAGGAGCAGACTACCGCACGACAAATTGACCATCGATCAAGCACGCGGCATACCTGTCCCAAGGAGCGATGGAATGGAGAAGATATGGCGCGCAGGAAAAACAACAAAGAACACATGTGGGAGATTGCTCATTTGTTTCTAATATAAAGGGGCCCGTCTTGGAGACGTCTTGGGTTCCGTCGAGAACTGGAATGGGCAGGATGTGAACGCGAAGCGTCTTCAATGAAGTAGCCCATGTCGAAGTCTATGCCGTTCCACCTGATGACGAGCGGCAGATTCGTGCCCTGGCCCTCGGCGGAGAACGAAATGAACACCCCGCTTGCGCTATAGGGCTGGACAAAGCCGTCATCCGAAGAGCCCAAGCTGAGACTCAGCTGGCTTATGTTGACATTGCTGCTCAGGTCCATGTCCAGAACGAGGTGTGTGCCGATGCTCACGTTAATCTCGGAGCCGACCAGGAACGACTCCGTGACACCACTGCCACGGTCGACTTCGATGGATAGGACGAGCAGCTTAGCGTCGAGGCATGTGACGGGCAGCGTGTACGTCTTGCAAGGATTGTCAGTAGGGTTGTCGAAGTAGTACGCGTGGGGACATACCCGAAATTGCATATCATTATGCTCTTGTACCTCGTCAGCAGTGGCACTTTGCTTGGTAAACATGCAATTCCATGGAGGACCGTTGATGTCCTGTGCTATTGTTTCCTGGCCATGTTCGTTCACCCATAATAGCGTGGCGTAAGTGCTCAGAGTCCAGGTGGAAATCGCGAGCTCAAGGTTCGCGATGTAGCCTGGGTTGTACGCATTGCCCTCGTTGCACAACTGCTCGTGCAAGGTCAGCAGGAGAGCCTGGCCAGTGCCAAGCTGCGAGGTTGTACGGTAGATCGGGTCCTCAAGGTTCGGGCACTGCGAGGAACAACCATTGTTGCACCTGGCAATCTTCTGGATCTTGACGTCGACAGCAGCGGTTTCCGGATCTTTGTATGTGGTGAACACGATTGGCACGCACCCGTTCGGCTGGCCCAAACACGAGAATGGTAGCCATGGTTTGCCTGTCTTGTGGCCATAGCAAACAATTCCATACTGTTTACTCGGAACCAAGCCCGTCACCTTGAAAGTCAATGTTGTGGCAGAGTCAGTTGTGAAGAGGTCACCGTAGATGTTTCCAGTGTCGATGTCTGGCATCGGCACATTATCAGTTTCGCTCATACCTATGGGCATGGGGTCACTGAACGGGTCAGTTGCAGAAATCGTGCAATTGAACTGCGTACCCAAGTCGAACTCTATATCGAACTCCACGTCTATGCCCTGATTCGTCCTGGTCTGCGGATCAACGATCGCGAGGGACATCATCCTGGGATTGGGATCCAAGAACGTGATGTTCCATGCCCACTCCTCTGCCGGTTTGGTGGGCTCCGCGTAACTTGTCAGAAAACCCGCATTGAACTTGACTTCGTAGTGGCAGCCAGCATAGAAGAAGTCGGTAGGTGGTTTCATGATCAAGATCTTGTTCCCGACCAGTCGAATTTCACCAGGAGCAGGGTTCGAATCAGTCATATCCTTAGACGCAACCACCCATTGTCCCCCAACGCAATAATCTGCACTTACTCGATTTACAACGAAGGTCTCCGTTCCAGAAGTCGACGCTTTGGCCTTGACGTTCAGCGTCACCACGATCTTCTCGACATCCTTCTCAGATTCAATATCTCCGTCTGGGGTGTACAACAGGCGCTCGGGCGCTGTGATGAACAAAAGCGTGATTTTCGCAGATGCTTTCCAACCGCTTTGGTAATCACTATTGGTGCACGTCTCCATCACTCGAACCTGGTAGGTCGCTCCTTCCGTCAAGCCCACCTCCGTCGGGGGGTTGCCGTCGAGGTAGCCGTCGAGGAGGCATTCTGTGATATCGCGGGAAGTGAGCAAGACCTTGCTGCAGGCATCAGTATCGGGAATCTCCCTCCAGTCGCTGTCTGAGTTTGAAGCACCATCGCGAATCTGGATGTGCCACGCCTGGAATGAGCAATCGTTGCCATCCCCACCGTACCACTTGATCACCATGTCGGTGTACTGCGGGTCCGCACTGGAGATGGACGTCGGATTACTCGCTGGCTGCTTGCACTGGAAGGTGGCTGGGGTGAATACCGATGCAGCACATTGCAGAGCCACTGACTCCGTCGAGGTGAAGCCCGTGGCGCACTTTGGAGTGCATGTTGCACCATCGTTGATTTGCCCGTTCCCGTCACTCTCCTCGCAAGGTAGATAGAGGCCGAACGAATCGGTGTACGCGTTCGACACTACGGGATCAGCGCAAGGCTCGGCGCCACAAAAAGGGAAATTGTCCCAATTGGAAGTCAAGTCCAGATCGCTGTTGGAGACGCACTTCAAGGTCTTAAAGTTTGGGGTGTACCCGAAGGCGCAGTTCACAATGCACGTTTCTCCATACAATATGTCGGAAAATCCTTCCTTACAGATGCCCGTCGTCGTGTTCATGTTCGCGATAGAGGGCGGCGTGCACGACGGCTTCACCGTCACGAGCCTTGTCCTGGTATCCGTGAGCCCCCCATCGTCCGTGCACGTGTAGGTGATCGTGTACTTGCCGACCACGTTCACGTTCAGAGAGGAGGCCACGTCGCTGGTGACCACAGGGCTCAGATCCTCCCCGTCTGTGCAGGCGAACGGTGGCTCTGTCCAGGGCACGCCAAGCGCCGTCACCATGCTCCCGTCGCTCAAAATCACCATCGGAGGTTTGTTGACCCGGCGGCAATACGCCACCTCCGTGACCGTTGCGTCGGCGTCCGGGTTAACCCAATACAGGCCTGAGCAGTTTGTGCGGAAGTAGCACCCGTGTGTGAGCTTTCGCCCAAGCGCCCAAGCAGGTTTAGGATCAGTAAAGAAGAGAGAGGCGTCGACGCCGGTGCTCGGTTCAGGGCCGATGTAGTCGTAGGCCTCGCAAACTGTCTCATGTTGTGCGATACACTGCGTTGAACAGTCGTACGCGCTCTGTGCCGTTCGGACGGCATCTGGCGGCTGTGCAGCCCAATTTTCGTAATACGTGCACCCCAATCTGTTCCCGCCGAAATCCCCGCTTGGGTTCGGGTTCTCACATGCCACCTCGATCAACCGCATGACCGAAGCCGACGCTCCCGACGAATCAACGCAGGTGTGCACGACCGTGTGTTTTCCAGCGGCCGAGGTGTCCACCGAGTGTGAAATCTCGACGCGCCCGAGCGTGGCAGTCGACGGAGCAACCCCCAGGCTGGCCTGTGCACAAGGCCTGGTTCCGTTAAGCGAGCTGTCACAGGACGTCCGGCAGCACCAGTCTCCCGTACCACAGGACTGCGAGTTGCACATCACCGGGAGGTTCGCCGGGCAGCGCGCGACGCTGAAGCCGCTGTCAAAACAGCAACCCTCGGTGCTGCAGAGCGAGCCGTCGGAGCACTGGTACTGATTGGCCCCGCCCTGCGCTGGCCCCATCAGCCACGAGCACGCCTGCGCAGGATCTGGGTTGAGCTTGATCTCGCAGCCAGCTGGCGTCGAGGTCCAGTCAGAACTGGTGGTCGACGGGTAGCTTATGCCTCCAGGGCCACGGGCCCTTTCCACGCCTCCGCTCCTCAATACCCACACGTCGCTGTCAGGAATCCCAAGCACCATGCCCGCGACGGACTCCCGTGTCAACGTGATAGCGTCGTTCACCGTGAAAGGAGACGAGGTCGCGACAAGGTTGTATTCAACCCCAAGAGTCCCGCTTGTGTTGACCAAGGCGAATTCCGCCGAACCATTCGGTACCAGCGTGGGAGAAGTCAGCCCTTCGACCAGGTCTCCCCGTGGCAAGTCGGCCTTTCGGGAAATGTACGAGAAGGGCCCCGGGGGGGACAGAGAGAGAGACTGCCCCCGATCCCCAAACGGCCCAGGAAAGCTATCGGCCCCAAAGGCCTCTAAGGCGATCAGAGGTCGAAACAAGGAACGGCCTGAAGAGGCCGCAGGAGGCTGGAGGAATTCAGATAGCCATGCCATCGAGAAACTTGTTCCCAAGTCGTACGGATAAACATGGCCTGGGGCATCCCTCAGTGCCCTCCAACAACACCCAAGACACCCTAAAAGGGCCAGAAGACGGCCCAAGAGAGCTTCCACTGATGAACATCGAAACCGCCAAGACGGCCCCCAAAGAACGCCAACGCAACCCAACGAGATTCACAGAGAGACACCAGACACCGCAATACGGTCCATGTCGGCACCAGTAACGCTCCTTCATGTCCCGGCAACGCCACCAAAAAACTCCTCGACTGTCAAATCCGCCGACCCGGTCGGCGTGTGGACGACGCTCGTTCCTTTGTCATCGTCGCCGTCGCCGTTCCCTTCTTTCCCCCCAGGCTCTCCCAACCGCGCCAGCCGAAGCGAAATGAAACAGCAACATCATACTTGAATCGATGGAGAATCCCATCCCTTCGATAACTTCCCCGCCGGGGGGGTGGGTCCCAGGGGGGACCCGGGGCATCTCGTGGGTCAGAATGTCACCCCCCCTGGCGGTTCCGGTCCTCAGAATGCCATCCCCCCCGTGGTCCCCCCGTGGTCCCAGTACCGAGAAAAACCCGAATTGAGCACGAGCCACAGTTGCGGCGCGCAACAGGCGGCTGGGCTGGGGCGGTAAAGGCGTCCTCCTCCACGTCCTCATCCTCCTCCTGCCCCCCCCCCGCCTCCTCCTCGTCCTCGCCCTTGTCGTCCTCGTCGTTCCCTCCCAGGGTGGGCGGCACTGGCCGCAAGGGCCTCGCAACAAACATTCAGCAGGCGCGAAAGACCTGAAGAACAGTACCCCCTTCAACCTATGCCATTCCTTTCCTCACGCCATCTTTCTGTACCTCTCTCTCTCTCCGGCCCCGTCCCGGGCCCCTGCACACGCCCCAGACCGCGTCGTTCGTCGCTCCACATCGTCATAGTCGTCATCGGTTGTCGTCGCTGGCCGTCGGTCGTCGGTCATCGCTCGCCGTGAATCGCAAATCGTCGTAGTCAACCATCCTCATCGACGTTGTCGTCAATCCTCGTCAATGGTCGTCTTCGATATTCCGTCGACATTCGTCGTTCGTCTTCATCGACTAGATCTTCGAAAGCGTCGAACACACCCCGAATCGACGGTACTGGCCTGAGACCATTACAATAAAGCTTTCTTCGGGTGCTAACAATCCCCCGTTACCCTATCACGTTTCTCCCTCACGCCATCTCTCTCTATATTCTCTCTCTCGTTATCTGTCTCTCACTCTATCTCTCTCTTCTCCCAACATGAAATATCCGGGACCGGTCTTAGACCCCCCCACGAACTAGACACAATTTATATGTTCGGCACTCTGATTGACCTATTGGCAAAAATAACTATTTTCCGCGGCAGCCGCCGCACCACAATAACGACGACGACGACGACTACGATTGTGATTACGGCGACGACTATGACCATGAGTGCGACTACGACAACAAACACGACTACGATTACTACTATAATCAAACTACACTCACGATTACAGTCACGATTTCAAACATGACTACAACCACAACCACTGATTCAGATCGCACTCGTCACGAAAAGATGCTCAATAATCCTCTCTCGTGTAGGGTAGCCCCCAATGGATTGTTCCCTGGGAGAACCCCACCATCATTTCCCGGCCAGCCCAACAATAGAGGGAAACAAATCTCCCCGCCGCGATTACGACTACGACTACTATTCACACTACGGTGATTGCGATTACGACTACACTCGCGACTACAATCACGATTACAATAACGATTACAACCACGACTCCAATCACGACTACAACCGCCACAACCGATTCCTGCTGCTATCCCCGTGGGAAGATGCTCACAAATTGTCTCGCGTGCAGGGCAACCCACAACAGCTTACTCCCTGGGGGAGAGAAGCCCCAAGAATATCGAGCCCTCCCATCAGGAGGCGGAAGTGACTCCCCGCCGCGGCGACGACGACTACGATTACGACGACTCTGGCTACGACTACAAACGCGACTACGATTGCGACTACGATCGCGACTACAACCACGATTACAGTCACCACTACAATCACGATTACAATCACAACCAATTATCCCGATTGCAATCCTCAATTGGAAGATGCCCACGCATCCTCTCGCGTGTAGGGTAGCCTACAGTGGATTGTTCCCTGGGAAATCGAATCCCCCAACATT